CCATCCATCTATCTATCTATCTATCTATCTATCTATCTATCTATCTATATATCTATCTATCTATCATCTATCTATCTGTTGTTTGTTCATTCTGTCTTTCTGTTGTTTGTTCGTTCGTTTGTTCGTTCGTTCATTCATTCTGTTTGTCATTCATTTGTTCTTTCATTTGTTTGTTTGTTTGATCGTTTGTTCTGTGTCTGTCTTTCTATCAATTATTTGTTCATTCATTCATTCATTCTGCCTATCTGTCATTCTGTCGTTCTGTTCTGTTCTGTTCTTTCATTTGTTTGTTTGTTCGATCGTTCATTCTGTCTGTCTATCTTCATTTGTTCTTTCATTTGTTTGTTAGTCTGTTGTTCGTTCATTCGTTCAATCGTTCTCTCTGTCTTTCTATCTATCTGTTATTCATTCGTTCGTTCTGTCGTTCTTTTCTTTGTTCGTTCATTCGTTCGCTCTGTCTGTTGTTCGTTTGTTCTTTCATTTGTTTGTTGGTTGGTTGATCGTTCGTTTGATCATTTGTGCTGTCTGTCTATCTATCTCTCTGTCTGTCTGTTGTTCATTTGTTCTTTCGTTTGTTTGTTTGTTCGATTGTTCATTCTGTCATTCTGCCTGTCTATCGTTCGTTTGTTCTTTCGTTTGTTTGTTTGTCTGTTCTACCTGTCTGTTGGTCATTCGTTCGCTCAGTTGTTCTGTCTATCTGTCATTCATTAGTTCAGTCAGTTGTTCTTTTGTTTGTTCGTTCGCTTTGCCTGTCTGTTGGTTGTTCATTCGTTCAATCGTTCTGTCTATCTGTCATTCATTAGTTCAGTCAGTTGTTCTTTTGTTTGTTCGTTCGCTTTGCCTGTCTGTTGGTTGTTCATTCGTTCAATCGTTCTGTCTATCTGTCATTCATTAGTTCAGTCAGTTGTTCTTTTGTTTGTTCGTTCGCTTTGCCTGTCTGTTGGTTGTTCATTCGTTCAATCGTTCTGTCTATCTGTCATTCATTCGTTCGTTCTGTCGTTCTTTTGTTTGTTCGTTCTTTCGTTCATTCTGTCTGTCTGTCGTTCATTTGTTCGTTCGTTCTCTCTGTCTGTCTATCGTTCATTTTTTCTTTCCTTTGTTTGTTTGTTCTCTCTGTCTGTCTGTCTATCATTTGTTTGTTCATTTGTTCTGTCTTTCTGTCTGTCTATCTATCATTCTGTCTGTCTGTCTGTCTGTCTCAAGTCAGCATTCAAAGTTTTGCTTTTGTAGTTAAAAATTATTAATTTTATGTGAATTTTCAAGAATTCATTCTACTTCATACTAATTCTGTTTTCTACCACATTTTTAAGTCATTCTGGGTTGATTTCTCAGGCAGCAGTGATTCCAGGCACCTGTTGAACCCAGCTGAGCAATGACCTCGCTTTAATTTTGTCCCTTTCTCTCGTCTATAGAAACTCAAGTTCCCAACCAGCCGAGCTCTCTGCACGTGCGTCCGCTGCCCAACAGCATCATCATGAGCTGGACTCCGCCGCTGAACCCCAACATCCTCGTGCGCGGCTACATCATCGGCTACGGAGTGGGCAGCCCAGCAATAAACAAGAAAATAAAAGTATTAATGTTGCAAAATTCATCAATTATGAAACAAACTCAAGCTCTTACAAGACAGTATTGTCATTATTCAGCTCAATTCAGTTCAATAACAGTGCCAATGTTGCAAAATTGATTAATTATATGAAATTATAATTAGGGCTGTCAAGCGATTAATTACATGATGTGTCAATTAATTAAATTGATTGCACATCAATTTTGGCTGAGAAATTACCCCCCAGAAGATAATTTAAAGCCATTATTGTGTTAGACGAGAAAAGCATTGGATAGATATAACAATAAAAGTTTTGGAAATAAATATTTAGATTCAACATTTGATAAATAATGATAATAAAGCAGTATCAATGGTATTAAAAAAATTATCTTGAAATATGAAATGATTTTTAAAAAGGTGGCGGCAAGTCACAGTTTTTAATGATTGAGTCATTGAATCATTCATTCAACCGATTTGTTCAAACAGCCAATTCATTCATAAAAAAGCAAGTGATTCCTTATGAATGAGTCACTGAATCATTGACTCACTCAATTTGTTCAAATGGCCGATTCATTCAGAAACAATTCAAGTGACTCTTTGTGAATGAGTCACTGAATCATTGACTCACTCGATTTGTTCAAAACTGTGGATTCATTCAGTAGCGAATCACCGCTGTGTGTTGACTTTGATCGGAACGGTTTTCATTTGCGAAATTGAGCAAAAACTGACAATACTGTGTCTAAAATGTAACACAATATTAACTTGTTTACTGAACTATTAAATCAAAATCACATTAGTAATGGTGCAGATGTTGGGGAAAAGCAGCACTCTTGCTGGTGTGATATTGCTAAACTATACCATATGATATAAATATAAGAGGGTGATTTATTTTTTTTGCTCATATCTTGAATTCTAGGCTCATTGAACTGCATTCTAATCGACTTCAGTGTAAGATGACGGACAGATCTAGACGGGGTGCAACGTTAATGCATTAATCACTTTAACACAGTATTTTTTTCTGTAATTAATCACACCAAATTAATAATAATAGATGAATGTCACACTCGCCTCTATATAATGAACCGGTCTGTGGAGTGCTGTAGCTTTAAGACCTTTAACGCGTGTGAGACAGAGCATGTTAATAACTGCTGTAAACGGCCTCGTCTCCAGCTCTTCAGAACAGAATCAAGTCAGGTTTTTGTGTTTGTGTGTGTTTGCAGAGCCCAGCTCTCATTACGTCATCTCTCTGAAGGCCTTCAATAACGCGGGTGAAGGAGTTCCTCTGTACGAGAGCGCCGTCACCAGATCCATGATCCATGTCTCGCCGGAGCATCTCACGTCTGTTTAGATCATTTCAGAGCTTTCAAATTATGAAATGAACAATGAACATATTACAAGATGGAAACTGAATCAGTGTGGTTGGTGACACATGAATCATTGAATCGTGAGACTGAGTTTTAAATGCAACTGAACAGTTTGAACTGATTCAGTGATTCAAATGAATGGCAGCTGTACATTTGAATCATTTCAGACTCTCTAGAGAGTTACAGACTCACCAGCCGTGAGACGCTGCTTCATTTTCTATCGTGCACAGAGACAGTCTCTGTTTTTAAAGCTTGTTGACGTGGAGAAACGCAGCGTCTTTCGTCATCATTGTGCTTCTGGTCTGAAAGCATCTGCAGCTACAGCCTTAACAGAAACCAAACTAAATCAAACATTTCTCTCGACTTTGACCGTTATGGCTATTTTTCTGAAGTGCATTCTGGGATTGTCTTCTCTGCAAGAATCAGGGTTATTAACATTAACTAAAACTATATATATATATATATATACACACACACAAACACATATATAAAGCCTTTTTCATTACTTGAAATAAATATAAAGTGAAATATTATGTATTATTTTATAATATATAATATAAATATTATAATAACCTGATGTACTAAAATAAGTTAAAACTGAAATAAAAATTGTAATAGAAAAAATCAAAAACTAATAAAAATGAGATAAACACACAGCAACATTACTAAAACTTTAAGTAGAATTAAATAAAAACAGAATATATAAAAATAAAATGTAATTCAAAATATAAAAAACTAGAAATAAAAATAAAATAAAATGAATGGAAACTAAATAGATATTTTAATTTTTGAAAAATTCTCAAAACCTACTGGAAATGCCAAAAACACTCAAATTAAAATGAGCATAAACTAAAATTAAAATTAAAACAGAATATATAAAAATAAAAACTAATTAAAAAAATAAAAAGCTATAAATAGAACAAAAATTAAATTAAATTAAAATGAATAGAAACTATATAGATATTTTATTTTTTTTTTTAAATTCAAAAACTACTGGAAATGCCAAAAACACTAAAATAAAAATTTAAATGAAAACAGAAAACTGATTCAAAATATCAATTAAAACTATAATTGTATCTCAGTTATACTGAAATACCACTGCCAAGTATAGTGTGGTATTTTTATTAGAAAGCATCCTTTTGCAGCTCACTGATGTCTCAGAAGCTGTCTAGTTAGTTCCCTCAGTAGGGTTTGAAGCAGAGCTGCTGCAGATGTCAGATTGATATGATCAGTGTCTGATACTGACAGAATGAATCACTCCTGTATAGAGATGTGTGTTTGTCTGATGATGATGGTGATGATGGTGATGGTGACTGGGTTGTGTGTTAGTTGTCTCTTGACTAACTGTCTTCTCTCTGTCTCTCAGGTGAGGCTGTAGATTAATCTGCTTTACTCGGTGAATCTCACACGCGGCTCATATTTCACTTCACAGTCGAAAGAAAGAAACAAGAAAATATATTTAGCATGAAAACATGCAGCTTATTTTAACAGCATATTTTTGTGCATATTTAAGCACATTTAACCCCAAATTCCCATTCCTACTGTATGTTAGTTTAGTCAGTATGAATTAAATTCAGTATAAATTAATTTCAGAATCAAAAGAAAGAAATACAAAAATATATGTAGCCTGAAGAAAATTAAGTGTATTTTAAAAACGTGTTTTGGTGCATTAAGCACATTTAACCCCAAATTCCCATTTCTATATTAATTAAGTCGGTATAAAATAAATTTAGCATGAATACTACTCTACCTTTTTATATATATATATATATATATATATATATATATTTATAAATGTACTTTTGCAATATAAATATTTTTTTCACAATAATAATTTTTAATCCACTGCTGTGGATTACAGTTGTAAAATTAATATTGTAGTGTAAAATGTTGATGATTTTAACCTTCATTTTCTTCATGCAGAATCTAATTTCTAATTTTCCTTTTGGTTTTGTGTTGAAATATCGTTCATGTTTGCTGAGATTCAC